ACACACACACACACACACACACACACACACACACACACACACACACACCGTTTACAGTGCTTTATCAAAAAGCAGACAAAGCTTTTTCACTTTTACAAAAGGAATATCTGATTCTGCACACATAAAATCTTGGATAACCTCCCACCCGGACTCCCACTTCACTTCTGAGTAGGAGTTTGCAGCGTGTCTCTCTCCTGCTCCTCTGTCTGTGACTCAGACAGGAAGCGGTTTTCAGAGCGTACAGCCCGTCATGTGCTGAAAACTTGCAGAAAAGTTTTTCTACACATAAATAAATAACCGCTGGAGTTTTGTTCTGTCCTAAACTTTACCCTAGCTTCATATTTTTGCAGGACGTAGCATTTAGTGAGCTTGTTGTTCACTGCGCGGGTCYCAGATGGGGCTTTTTTTTCCCTCCCCCCGTGTCGGGAGGGGTGCTCACCCTGCGTACCTGTTACCAGGTAACGGCAAGTGGGCTGCAGGAGCAGCAGCAGTCAAAATACCTCAGAAACTCGCTCAAATAAGCAAATTCTGACATTCCGTGTTTTACACTGGATTCCATAACTGGATTCCGTGTGCATTTTCTGCATCACGGAAATATTGGTACATCCCTACGTAAACTGCGAACCTCGATCATTATGTTTTTATGATTGTTGAAAATCGTAATCAAGATCAAAATCCAATTAATTGCCCAGCCCTACGTAATAGTAAAAACAGTATTCTACCTGAGTTCTGTTAGTCTCTCATTGAGCTCAGAAAACTCCTGCATGGCCAGTTTTCTTTGACTGTGGGCCTCCTTCAGCTCTTTTGACTGAGTCTTCAGCTTCTCACTGGCACCCAAAATGTCCTGTTTAAAGCAAAGACAGAATACTTTAACCTATAAGATCAATTCAGCACACATTTAAGGCTAATTAAATACTTATAAAAACAAAATTCTCTGTTGAAAGCAGTGGTTCTACCTTCTGTAATTCATCCCTCTCCTGTGTGAGGCTCTTCATCTGTTTCTCCAGAGTCTTGGTGTGTTTAGATGAGTCCTCTAGGTCCCTGCAAGCTGATGTAACGTCCTCCAGCTGCTTCTCCAGTTGGCCTGAATCTGCCACACAGAAAAACACAGCAGGGTTTTAATTTCAATGAAAATGTCATTGTCACAAAACAAAGCATCTGAAAAAATAAGTTATTTTATCCCTTTCTATTTAGGAGCTAATTCTTGTAAAAAGTAAAAGTTCTAACCAGCGATCTGTTTCTTGAGAATGTCAATCTCGCTCTTTAGACTCCTGATCTCCACTTCCTTGTTGGTGCTGAGAGGTCCTTCACCTGTTGGGTGCTGCAGCGCCTGCACTGTCTGAGTTGACTCTGAAACAAATAAAAATCATTTAGACACTTTAATGAAAAGAGAGACAATATTTATTTTTTTTTACGTTTGAGAACCACAACTTCACGATGAGCAACATTTGTTTGTCATCTGAAAAATTCAGGCAACAATAAATTAGTTAGTTCATCTCTGCCATTTTGCATCATGTTGTTTCCACACAGTTTACCTTGCAGTTTGCGACTCAGCTCTAGTTTCTCCTGCTCCAGACGGCGAATCCTCCTCTCATAGGCCTCTGTGGCCAGGCTGTCCTCAAGGCTGCGCTGGACGTCCAGGTCCACCTTGTCCTGCRCCACCCTACCCAGCTCAGTAACAAGCTGTCGCAGGCAACCCCGGTCTGATAGGGAACTACATAGAAAGGAGACAGAAGAAGAAATGTTAGGAACCAAAGAAGATGAATTCAAGGGCATGCAATCTGTATATATAAGAACCATATTTAGAAAAAAATAAGAATTATACAAAAAAATGTACGGAAGATATTTATAGGTAAGAAAAAGTGGTGGGCATTTTCATGCTAAAAAACAGGCAAAGAAAGAAACCTAAAGAAAATGACAGAAATAGCAGGAGGTGGAAAACAGGAAATAAAAGTGGATGAAGCATTTAAATTTGAAAGATAAGATGACTGTCATGGAAGAGAGAAGAAAGGGAGACAGAGCAGAAAAAAGAAAGGAGAAAGAAAAGAAAACACCATTATCATGAGCCCTGCACAGTTAAGGAAAAAAACTGGTTCTTTCTCACAAGCAGGACTTCAGCTGAAGTCACCTTATTAGGAAGAAAAGTTAATTGAACTCCACAGAACATCTTCAGATGAAGTGACAGAAACAGGGCTTAGAAACTAAACATCTTTTTGAGAATGGTACAGTTCATTTCTTTTCTCCCTAACCGTATGCAAATGATGTGGTTCTGTTGTCGTCTTCGGGCAAAGACCTTCAGCGTGCAGTGGGACGGTTCGCAGCCAAGTGTGAAGCAGCTGGGATGAGAGTCAATTCCTCTAAATCTGAGGACATGGTTCTTGACCGTAAAAGGGTGGAATGCCCCCTCTGGATCGTGAGAGAGTCTCCGCCTCAAGTGGAGGAGTTTAAGTATCTGTGTCGTGTTGACGAGTGATGGTCAGATGGAGCCGGGGATGGACCAACTGATTGGGACCTTGTCCTCAGTAATGAGGGCATTGCTTCAGATGGTCGTGGTGAAGAAAGAGCTGAATTGAAAGGCAAAGCTCTCGATTTACTGGTCTGTCTATGTTCCAACCCCCGCCTATTGTCATGAGGCGTGGATCATGACCAAAAGAACAAGATCCCGGATATAAGCAGCCGAAATGAACTTCCTTCCYTTCAGTTCAGGTAGAACTGTTTGTTAGCACAGCATCTTTCCTCGGTTACCCTTAAATCAAATGCCTGCATCATTCCTTGGTTCGGTACATTTTCATGCATCCATATATCCATTACGTTCGGGTTGGGTTGGGTCACAGAAACTTCATTCTCCATAGCCACTTGGAGCAGCTTCTGTGGGGGAATCCCAGGGCATTCTCAGGCCAATCTAAAAGCCCCTCCAGCGTGTCCTGTGTCTTCCTATGGGTCTCCTCACGTGCCCAGAGCGCCTCACCGTACCTTTCTTTACCTTAAATCCAAATGCCTGGGTCATTGCTGACTTGTAATCTTCCAGATTCTTCTGGTTTAGAATGCTTCAAGAACATAGTACACGATGGAGCAACGAAGTCAGCCCATTTGACGTGAACAAACTTTACCAATGTCTTCTGAAGGTTTTAGTTTTGGGAAAAATAACTGACATTAACTGCCTCCTTGGGTGTGTTTCTGCAGAGCTGGGCAAAACATTGACTAAATGATAAAGATAAGTTGATGCGCGTTAAATACAAACCCCAAAACCAGAAAAGTTGGCACGTTGTGTAAATCGTAAATAAAAACAGAATACAATGACTTGCAAATCATTTTCAACCTATATTCAATTGAACACACTGCAAAGACTAGATACTTAACATTCGAACTGGTAAACTTTGTTATTTTTTGCAAACATGTTTCAAAAAAGCTGGCACAAGTGACAAAGAAGACAGAGAAATTTGAGGAATGCTCATCAAACACTTTTTTGGAATATCCCACAGGTGAACATGCTAATTGGGAACAGGTGGGTGCCGTGATTGGGTATAAAAGCAGCTTCCTTGACATGCTCAGTCATTCACTTAGAAGGATGGGGCGAGGGTCACCACTTTGTGAACAAATGCGTGGACAAATTGTCGAACAGTTCAAGAACAACTTTTCTCAACGAGCTATTGCAAGGAATTTAGGAATTTCACCATCTACGGTCCGTAATATCATCAAAAGGTTCAGAGAATCTGGAGAAATCACTACATGTAAGGGGCAAGGCCAAAAACCAACATTGAATGCCCGTGACCTTCGATCCCTCAGGCGGTACTGCATCAAAAACCGACATCAATGTGTAAAGGATATCACCACATGGGCTCAGGAATACTTCAGAAAACCACTGTCAGTAACTACAGTTCATCACTACATCTGTAAGTGCAAGTTAAAGCTCTACTATGCAAAGCAAAAGCCATTTATCAACAAGATCCAGAAACGCCGCCGGCTTTGCTGGGCCCGAGCTCATCTAAGATGGACTGATGCAAAGTGGGAAAGTGTTCTGTGGTCTGATGAGTCCACATTTCAAATTGTCTTTGGAAACTG